TTTCTAATACATCCTTCCCTTGTGCTGACCCACAGACACCTGATGCAGAATACCATTCCATACAAGACCCTATACTCATCCTTCCTGGCATAGCTCAAGGGAACTTCTCTGCAAAACCTTGCGTGGTCCTTTTTCCACGTTTCCGTTAGCTTTTGTATATGGATGATTTATTTATGTGGTTATCTCTCTTGTACAATATCAGTTCTATAGAAAGTAGGATCTGAGTTGTATTCACCTTCATAGGCCCAGATTCTAGCACGGATCCTGGTGCTAGATGGTAAATTCTTAATGTGTGTTGAATGAAGTAATGAATGCCTTATTCATTTTTCTCACATTCAAAGACTTTTTCCCCCAGAAAGATTCCATTTTCTTTTAATTGCATCTCTGAAGTTTAAATGGTTGGTGGAGTATTCTTATCCCCCTTTCTTTCATTTGCATGGGTGTGAGAAGTTTCTTGCCTCAGGAGGATAGAGAAGGGGCGGGACACTTCTGTGTCCACAGGTAACCTGTGTGGCTGCTCTGGTTGGATGGCCCACGTAACCCAGCCTTCCCAGGCTGTCCTCAGAAACCCGCTCTCCTCCAAGGCCCTGGAATAAGTGGCCGCTACTGCACAAGAGCCTGCCCTTGTCCAGGCCTGCCTGTGACTGGATGTATGGGTTTAATTATTATTATTATTTTTGGTTCAGGGAAGACATTAGAAAACCCATCTGTTTCAGGGTCTAAGCTTTAGACTCCAATCGGCTTTATCAGACATAAAGCAGATATTTTCATCTCCATCTGTCAGACTACATTGACTGTCTCTTGATTGGTCCCAGCTTGAAGCTGGGTGGGATGGGGAGGGGGAGAGAATTGGGGCAGGAATATAATTTATTTGCTCCTCCAAAATCCCAATAATCATTCTACTCTTCTATGTTTAAGATACCAGGAGTCACTCAGATCCCAGCCATCTGGAAGGATCGTAAGCCACGTATGATTTTGGAGAAAGATTCTGGTTTATAGGGCAAAGGGATGACTAGAATAGAGCCTTCTATCAATATGCAGTAAATACCTTATACTGTTATATGTAAATAAATGAATAAAGTGGTTTGTGGGCAGAAAGTTATAGTTTAAAGTCAGGTAACCTAAGGCAAGAGAAGGAATGGATTTCCCACTTTCGCCTATCAGATGGGCAAAGACCAAAAGGTTTAATAATCCACTGTGTTGGAGACGGCAAGGGAACATGAACAACCTCACACATGGCTGGTAGGCCTGTAGTTTTTAAAAAATAATCTATGTAGGGAATTGGGAAATATCTATTAAAAATACATATGCACATGGTTTTTGACCCAATGATTCTGTTTCTGGGAATTTGTACTATGGCTGTACCACCATGCAAAATGACATGTAGAGGCGTACTCATTATCACATCATTTACAATAGTACACTTTTAGAAACACTCTAATGTCCAACCGTGAGAATTGTTAAACAAATGATGGTGCATCCTAACAGATTATTATTACCTGTAAAGAAAAATGAGGACACTCTTTCTAGACCAATATGGAATTATCTCCAAAATATATTGATAACTAGAAACAAAGTACCCAACACTGAATATGTTGTGGTATCATTTTAAAAAGAGAGACAGAAGTGTATTTGTTTGTAATGCTTTTATCTGAAAATAGACAGTAGAAGCTGACAGTATTGTTTGCCTCTGGAAAGGGGAACCAGATGGCCGGGGAACAAGGTTAGAAGGGAGACTTTGTGTTATCTCATTTGTACCTTTTGAATTTTAAACAATCTGAATATATAATTAAATAAAAGGCACACACACACACACATGCCCACATACTGACTTTTGTTTTTAATTGAAAGGAAACACGTACTGGGAAGAAACCTGGAATTAGTTTTCTTTGACAGCAGTCTCAGGAGGACAACTGAGGAAGCATGAATTAATGAATGCTAAAAGGGATAATTAATTAGTTAGTGTAGTACAGTGGTCAGTGTGAAGACTCTGAGGTCAAACTATGTAGGTTCAAATTCAATCTCTGGTGTGACTGTGGGTGAATTAGCTCTTTACACTTTGGTTTTCTCTTCAAATAAGAAATAATGATAGTATCCACCTCAGACTTGCTATGATGATAAAATGAAAAGTGTGTGTATAACTTGCATAAAGATGGCTTCTCAAGTGGCTCTGTCTTTGCATAGAATCACATTAAAAAAACAAGTTAGCAGAGAAGCTTAATCAAAAGCAATTCAAGTATTTACTGCAGTTTCTCAAGAAAATTCCAAGAGGGTAGTATATGCCTAAGAAATAGCTAAACTTAAAAAAAAAAAATCTCTGCTTTCAACTTGTCCACTTCTCACTTTCAACAGAGAGTAGCTGTACTTGAAAATCTCTCTTTATTCCACTCTCAACTGCCAACGAAAATTTCTCCTGTTTTCCCTGCCATGTTTTCTGAGAGCTAGTCTTTTTTTTTTTTTTTTTTTTTGCCAGCATTTCTCTTCATTTCAAATATAAATCTCCTTGCCTTTCAGGCTTACAGTATTTCCCCCAGTCTGTGGATTAAAGCCCACAAGCTGAGGATATGGGGAAGTGCCAAGTGAACCAAATGAGAATTTTACTAGTGGAAATGGGGGTGGACAGACGTTGGAAGGGACGGAAAAAGACATTTAAAAATATTCTTAGAATAATAATATTTTAGCCCCTGTTACACATGTGTGGAATTTATAACATTGCCTGGCATATTATAAGCACTCAATAAATTTCAGCTATTAACATTGTTCATAATAACCATTTTCTCACAATCTGATACTTTGCCACAATGAGCATTTACTGAGAATCCATTATGTGTCAGTGCTGTTCTAGTGTTTTACTTACTTTACCTCCTGTAAGCTTCAGGACAGCTCCAGATGACGAAGCTGATAGAGACTGAGTAACTTGCTTGGAATGAGAAAGAAAGCCAAGCAGTTTGACTCTAGTTCCCACATTGCCCGCCATCTTGTATTGCCTCTAAGTCAGATTTTCTGTCTTAATGTCATGGTCAAGGATCCAGTCAATCTGATCCTTCTGCACTGCTAGTCTTTTTTTTTTTCCCCAAAAATATAGTTAAACACTTTATTTATAATATAACTTTTATAACCCTATACATTCATTTCCCCCTATTGAGTTTTTTAATTTTTTGTGCTATTTTGTCATTTACTGTATATCTAAATATGATAAATCCCTTAACATTGTTATTTTGTATTTAATTTCATTCTTTAAGTATTTGGCTAGCCTTAAAAATATTATATTTATTTTTTTATGTTTACTGAAATGTTTACCACTTCCAGAACTCTGCCTCACTTCAAGTAGACCCAAGTTTTCACTTGTCCATCATTTCATTTCAAATTTAAGAACTTCCTTTAAGATTTTCTTTGGTGAGTTCTGATGACTAAAAATTCTCTCAGGTTTTTTTTTTTCTAAAAGTGTTCTTATTATATACCTTTTTATTTTATTGAAAAATATTCTTAATATATTTTTATTTTACAGTTGATGTACAATATTATATAAGTTGCAGGTGAACAATATAGTGATTCACAATTTTTAAATGTTATAATCCATTTATTGTTATTGTTGTTCATTTACTAAGTCGTGTCTGACTCTTTGTGACCCCATAGACTGCAGCACGCCAGGCTTTCCTGTCCTTCCCTATCTCCTGGAGTTCGCTCAAACTCATGTCCATTGAGTCAGTGACACCATCCAACCATCTCATCCTCTGTTGCCCCCTTCTCCTCCTGCCCTCAATCTTTCCCATCATCAGAGTCTTTTCCAGGGAGTGGGTTCTTCCCATCAGTAGCCAAAGTATTGGAGCTTCGAGGTTCAGCATCAGTCCTTCCAAAAAATATTCAGGGATGATTTCCTTTAGGATTGACTGGCCTGATCTCCTTGGGCAGCAAGGAGATCAAGCCAGTCAGTCCATGTGTAGTTATAAAATAATGGCCATATTCCCTATGTTTGTACTGGAAGTTTTCTGAGGCTTTTCTTCTGCCAGTTTCCATGGCCCTTAGTAGTCCCAAACGAATTGAGAATAAACAGGAAGGATACGGTCACCTTCATGCTCCTAGGAAGACAACTGCTATAACTGTTGTTGCTCTAGCTCTTTGGATGCCAAAGTTTTCTGGCAATGGACCAGAGAAAGCCCCAGCTGATGAATTCTTAACAAACAAATCCTACGGTTCTTTGCATTACGTCCCTAGTTGCCTCTCTGCTAAAGAAAATAATGCCTGTGCTTGCCAGATCGATAGATGCCCTGAACAAATCAGCTTATTCTGGGCTTTATACTAGAATATTTGAGGAGGGCATGGCAACCCACTCCAGTATTCTTGCCTGGAGAATCCCATAGACGCAGGCGCCTGGCAGGCTACAGCCCATGGGGGTCACAGAGTCGGACATGACCGAAGCCACTTAGCATGCACGCATGCATTAGAATGTTTGTTTCACAGCTGCTAATGCCACAGAAACCATACTCCCAACATTATCAATGTATTTTCCTTCCCGGCTATTGGCATGTCCTGGGGGGTGAATCTCTCAATTCAGGGGAAGGTAGGGGGCAGACCACCCAGAATAAACAGTCTCTGCTCTGCTTTGGGTTTCTTGTTAGAACTGTTATGTGAAAAGTGAAAGAGTCTTAAATCCATGCTTTGCTGAGTGAGAGAGGAGTGTTTTCCAAATTCTAAAAAGTTTCCATCTGTATGTCAAGAGTGAACCTAGGAGGTCTGAGATAGAGTGTTATTATTTTGAACAATGATGTTGAGAAGCTAGGTTGTGACATAAAGAAACTTCCTGTTCAGCTGGAAATGGAAAGTCCTTGCAGTTTGGCGGTGGGGGGGTTGGTGGGAGGGGAAGGGGCAGGGGCGAGCTGAGGAGAGAGGGGGCCAGAAAGGGAGTAATATTAGGGGTGTTCTGTTTCTTCCTTCAAGTTCTTGCCTCTTGGTTGGGGGGGGTCTATGTCAGGTGAGGAGGCGCAGATAGTAAACACATCTCAGAGAAGCTGAGAGGAGTCGGCAGGGGAGGGCCTGGACTCCCACTCAACATTCAGAGCTTGAAAGAGCCCCTCCAATGGCGCCGCCAGGCAGAGAAGAAAAGGGCTGCGGAGAGTTACTCCAGGGGGCCTGGACCCCGGACCCGGGCTGCTCTCACGGGGCATTTTGGCAGGAGGTGTGGACGATGGCCGCAGGGCTAGCTCCGTGAGCTTCCTGAGTGCTGCACCATGGGCAGGAGAGGGCTGGGGAAATGACCCACAGAGCTGAGCTCCTGATGGGAACTGGGGCCGGACCTCGGTGGGGGGAGAGCTGAGCCGGGCCTGGTCAACAGAGGGGCAAGGCCGAGGGTCCTGGGGGCAGTGGCCGGGTGGCACCCCAGCTGGGAGAACGGACATCGAGTCCCGCTGGCCTGGGGCACTTTAGCAGCAGCAGTGGTGATGACAGTGGCCCAACCAGGGGAGAGCGGGACCCCAGGCCCCCCTTTCCATCGCCCCGTGGAGGGGACACCAGGCTTCCCTCCAGGCTTGGGAAAGGGGGCGGGCGAGTCCACGAGGAAGGGGGGACACCGGAGAGCTGAACCGTTACTGAAAGAGACTGGTCTACTCCAGGGAGACTGCACTGAGCCACAAGGAACTGAATTCTTCCCTACTCCTCCAGCTCCCACATACTGTTGGAATAGGAACTTGTGAGCAAGATACAGAAATAGGTAGAGTGTGTGTGTGTGTGCGTGCTCAGTCATGTCCGACTCTTTGTGACGCCATGGACTGTAGCCCACCAGGTTCCCCTGTCCATGGAATTCTTCAGGCAAGAATACTGGAGTGGGTTGCCATATCCTACTCCAGGGACCTTCCCGACCCAGGGATGGAACCCACATCTCCTGTGTCTTCTACATTGGCAGGCGGATTCTTTACCACTGAGCCATCTAGGAAGCTCAGGTGTATATATGCGTCAGTTCAGTTCAGTTGCTCAGTCGTGTCCAACTCTTTGCGACCCCATGGACTGCAGCACGCCAGGCTTCCCTGTCTATCACCAAATCCTGGAGATTACTCAAACTCATGTCTATCATGTCGGTGATGCCATCCAACCATCTCATCCTCTGTCGTCCCCTTCTCTTCCTGCCCTCAGTCTTTCCCAGCATCAGGGTCTTTTCAAATGAGTCAGTTCTTTGCATCAGGTGGCCAAAATATTGGATTTTCAGTTTCAACATCAGTCCTTCCAATGAATATTCAGGACTGATTTCCTTTAGGATTGACTTGTTGGATCTCCTTGCAGTCCAAGGGACTCTCAAGAGTCTTCTCCATCACCACAGTTCAAAAGCATCAATTCTTTGGTGCTCAGCTTTCTTTATAGTCCAACTCTCACATCCAAACATGACTACTGGAAAAACCATAGCTTTGACTAGATGGATCTTTGTTGGCAAAGTAATGTCTCTGCTTTTTAATATTCTGTCTAGGTTGGTCATAGCTTTTCTTCCAAGGAGCAAGTGTCTTTTAATTTCATGGCTGCAGTCACCGTCTGCAGTGATTTTGGAGCCCCCCAAAATAAAGTCTCTCACTGTTTCCATTGTTTCCCCATCTATTTGCCATGAAGTGATGGGGCCGGATGTCACGATCTTAGTTTTCTGAATGTTGAGTTTTAAGCCAGCTTTTTCACTCTCCTCTTTCACTTTCATCAAGAGGCTCTTTAGTTCCTCTTCGCTTTCTCCCATAAGGGTGGTGTTATCTGCATATCTGAGGTTATTGATATTTCTCTCAGCAATCTTGATTCCAGCTTGTGCTTCCTCCAGCCCAGTGTTTCTCATGATGTTCTCTGCATCTAAGTTAAATAAGCAGGGTGACAATATACAGCCTTGACATACTCCTTTTCTTTGGAACCAGTCTGTTGTTTCTTGTCCAGTTCTAACTGTTGCTTCCTGACCTGCATACAGGTTTCTCAAGAGGCAGGTCAGGTGGTCGGGTATGCCCATCTCTTTAAGAATTTTCCATAGTTTGTTGTGATCCACACAGTCAAAAGCTTTGGCATAGTCAATAAAGCAGAAGTAGATGTTTTTCTGGAACTCTCTTGGGTATACACAGGTAAATGCTGGCCTCGGTGGTGCTGGGGGAAAATCAAGTGTTATGTGCTGCATTGTGTCCACCCCCAAATTTATATGTTGAGGTGTTACCTCTCCAGTTCCTCAGAGTGTGAGTTTTCTTGGAAACAGGGTCTTTAAAGAAGTGATTAAGATAAAATGAAGTCATGTGCATAGACCCTTATCCAATACAACTGGAGCCCTTATAAGAAGAGATGAGGTCAGAGATGACACACCCCAGGGGTGACACAGGAAGAAGACAGTTGTCTGCAAGCCGAGGAGAAAGGATTCAGAAGGAACCAACTCTGCCGATATTGTTGCTTTGGACTTCCAGCCTCCAGAGCTGGAAATCAAATAATAAGACAATAATTTCTGTTGTGTAAACTACCCAGTCAGTGATGTTTTGTCATGGCATGCTAGCAAACAGAGTGAACAAACCTTGTCTGGATTATTACACATTAGGAGGAAGTCAACAGTTGCAGCGGCCCAAAAGTGAGTTCTTGGTGTGATGTAGATCAGAAACAAAGAGAGCAACACGGTAGGAGAGAGAGGCTTGGCTGCTGAATAATGGTCCACGTAGGGCTCTGAGGTAGCTCAAATACATCTACTTGATTAGCGTCGTGAACTTGGACTTTCTTCTCCATGAGTTCCCCAAACCAGCACAGGGCCAGCAGGCAATATAAATCAGTCCTCCTTTCACAACTTTTCCTGCTGTCTTTGGAGAGGAATAATTCAAGCTAGGGTAAAGCAGAGAGGTGTTGATTTTATAAGCAGTGCTATCTGTGTCCCTATCGAGGGAGGCTGTGATGAGTGGTGCTGGTGCTTGGTTGGGGAGGGTGCCTCAGAAGATTGTGGAGGAAGACCAGTAACAGCCCTTACCCACACCCCAGTGAAAAAGGGAATGTTGAAAGACTTTTGTGGCTTGGATCATTTCCTCCAGCCCCCAGTCCAAAATATCTTTATAAACAGTCTTGTTTTTATCTCTTCCAAAGATGCCAGGTGCTCTGGTCTCCTGGAGCTATGGCAGACACCACTAGACTGAAAACACAACATGATTTATGATATCCATCAGTCCCAGAGCCAAGCGTGGTGATTATTTCTCGTATTTACGACTAGGAAGTCAAAAGGAGTTGGTAATCATCTTTAATGTAGGATTGTGATTCCTGTGTCAAAAGCACACAATTTTGCACAACCTGAGCCCAACATGAATGTGTCAGTAAAACTGCCGTGCCTATGTATCATCCAGCAAGGCTCCACCTGAGCTCTATGTCTCTGGGCCTGCAGAGATGGTGTGTGACGAAGCTCAGATAATGTTGCTGTCGCCTGAGCACTTTCCCCGACTTTTCCCCTTCAAGTGGGGAAGCACCTGGATAAAGAAAGTACTGCAGTTGTGCAGTGAATGTGGCATTGGATCAGTTACCTGTCAAGGGGTCATTCTTTGTTCCAGAAGAAGTGACATCTCAAAGCACTGCTAATGAAAACTTCTCCTGCTTTCTGATAATCCCTCTCTCCTATTTTCTTCCCGATTCCTGTCATATCAGCATTAGTTAAAACTATGCTACAACAGTGATGCTGCCACTAATTGACTTTTCTTCACATCGAAGGAGACCTTTGGCCAGTGGAGCAGATTCAAGATGAAAAAGGCTCCAACACAAGCCAGCATCCCATCTGTCTCTGATGCGCTGGGATTTCCTTCAGCCACATTTTCTTTTCAGTCTTCATTGGAAGATGAGCTGACAGGCTTGTAAAATGACATCTTTTCTCTTTGAATAGATAAACATGTGGGTTTTTTTTTTTCTTTAATAATGGAATCTCAGTTTGGTTCCTGAGGGTCATGCTCTACTCTGCCCTAATTTCTGATCTGTGTGTCTCTCTGGTTGGGTTTAGTCTGTCAGTTGATGGACAGTGGCCGGCAGGAGCCCAAAGACACTGCATTAGATGCTTGTGAGGAAGGGACCAAATTGACACCCACAACTGACTTTTCCCCCTAAGGGATAAGGTCAGATGGGCAGTCTTTATCAAGTGGTGCTGAGCTATGCTGGTGCTAGGCTTGGTTGAAATGGGGGTACAAAGAGAGGAGCCAGGAGGAGGGGGTCCCTGTTTTCTAAGAACCCTGGAAATTATTACTTGAAATAGGGTGTTAAGTAATTTTGAATTGGTTTGTCCGATAGATTATGTGAACAATGAAGATACAGAGAAAGGAAACCTTCTTGGAACCCACGTTAGCCATGAAGGCGTATGGATAATTAACAGTGAACCTGGTAACTGCGTCATAAACTCCATGCATTTGAATTCACTCATGAGAACGGATATTCTGACTTATTTTTTCACCCTAGGTCTGAACTATTTTGTAAGGTTCATGTTTTCTTAAGGAATAAGGCAAATGAATTAGGCATATCTTTTGACTAAATGGAAGGGAGAGAGTATTTAATCTCTTACGTACACAATTGAATTTCTAGTTCTCAGGAAGCATCATAATGTTTTGTGTTTTATGAACATATTTTCTCCCCCAATGCAAATGCCTTTAAATGAACTTTTATACTTTTTGTTTAGCTCACTTCTCATAGAAGAGGAGCAAGTAATATTATTCCCATTTTACAGATGGAGCTGAGACTTTGAAGGAATTTGCTAGATGAGGGAAAAGAAAAATTTGTTTCCTGAAGGCAAGAAAATACGGGTGAGCCTGAGTAATACTGAAGCATAAAACTTTTTTTCTCCTTGTAGTTAATGTGTTCTTTGTAGAAAATCTGAAAAATTCAAATATGTTTAAAGAAGAAAATCAGAACCATCTATAATTTCACAACCCAGGTCCCTGTTTTATTATAAGAATTTTCTTCATTTACACATACAAATATGAAAGTATCATAAATATTTCTCTAAAATTAGATTGTGCTAAATATGCAGTTTTGTATTCCATTTTTCTTACTATTAATCCTGGGTATAATAATAGAAACTTTCAGTGCTGCCTCATAGCTGACTCACTTCTCCTGGGCACATAGTAGGATTACATTTTTTTTTTTCCAACCTACCTTGCAGGAAGATGGGATGTCAGCAAACATGAGGGTGTGGCTTCTGGACTGAACATATATGGCCTGTGCAGGACCAAGCGGGGTCTCCTTCCTTGCAGAGAGGGCTGGCTGACCATACTGAGAACAAATCCTGCCCCTACCCTGACCTGCCTAATCTCATTTGGATGTGAAGTGTGAACAAGAAGAACATTTCCCCTTGTGTTTAGCTACTGAGAATTTGAAGTTGTTACTGCAGCGTAATCTGGCCTATTCCAATTAACGCAATACTTTCTGATGTCAGGAACATGCTTGAGAA